CGGCCGCCGCTCGGCAAACCTCCCCCCAGCGCCGGGCATGCCACCGCCCGGCCCCGGCGAGGCGGTCGCCCGCGTCAGGGAGGCGGCGGGGAGAGACCCGTTGGCCGCCGACCTGCGGTGCAGCCTCTTCGCCGCCGCGCTGCAGAGCTACAAGCGCGACTCGGCGCTGAGGCCCTTCCCGGGCCGCTACGCCGGCGGCGACAGCAAGGACTTCGAGGGGCTGGTAAGTGCCAGCGGACCCGGCCCGGGGTGTATCCGAACCGGGAGTACGGTGTGCTGCCCCTCGGAGGGTGAAAACAGCCTGGGGAAGGGCTGGTCGGAGGCGGAAAGCCCCCGGGGGAGCGCGGCTGGGCCGCTGTGGGGGAGAAGCCGGCGGTGCGGCCCATGGGGTGAGGGAGGCGGCGCCTGAGGGGTGGGAATAAAGAGGGATAAAGTGGGATAAAGTGTTTATCCCGCCGGGGAATCCAAGTTTTAAAAGTACAGTTTGGGATTCTGAACCAATAAACCCCGCCCTTGGAAACGTCCGAGCGCAGTGGTGAGATACAAAGGCTCCTAAGAGCCTGCCCTACACAAAATCCAGATTAATTCTGAAGGGTTTGTATAAACAGCCCCTGTGTTTATCCCACTGCGGATGCTGCATTGTCACGGCTTGTTTTCTTCCGGGAGCTTGTTTGATTATTCCTCGTGTGCACCTTATAAAATATTTATATTTACCAACAAGATCTATAACTTGCCTGCTATTTGTTTTTAGGACAAGTCACAAACTTTCCCACAAACTGGATACAAATGTTTCTATCTCAGAGCAGAAGCTGCTTTTCAGTTTGCAACCCATTAGGGTGAAATATTGTTTTGTTTTCACTAGAGGTCTCTGTTTAATCATAATGAAAAGCAGGAGCTTGTACTAAATGCCTGTCTCGTTAGCTTGCAGACACCAACGCGCTACCGAGCCTGAGGGAACTTCTGGAGTCTGTTCCAAACACGGAGAAAAGGACCTGGGATTTGTTCAGTTGGATTTTATCATCTAAAGTCTTCATGATACAAAGTACTAAGAAACAGGAGGTAAGTTTTGAGTTCTGAGTCTTGATTAGAATTTGTCCTTTAAGGCAACCTTGCACTTCCTGCCAGAATTTACTTGGTTATCGTGAGAGTTTGACAGTTCAATGTGAATGTACTTTTCTCAGTACACGGAGAGAGGATTTTATAAATAAAATTTGCAGGAGCTGCTTTTCACTTTACAACCTATTAGGGTGAAATATAGAGGAAGTGGTCTTCCAAATTGCACTGGAAGAAGTAGTTATCACTGTCACTAGTTGATGATGGGCAGTGATTGTGGTTGGTTAATCCCATTAACATAGCATGTACCTGCATGTTCCAGACCATGATAGTACAACTCAGATGTACTGGAACCAGGTCCTCCTTCTCACTGAGAAAAATGATTTTGTACTTCACCCCAAAAATAGAAGAGTCTTCCAAATTTCACTTGCAAGAAATAGTTACCACTATCACTAGTCGATGCCTAGTAGTCACTAGGCAGTGATTGTGGTTGGTTACTCCCATTAACGTAGCATGTACCTGCATGTTCCAGACCATGATAGTACAACTCAGATGTACTGGAACCAGGTCCTCCTTCTCACTGAGAAAAATGATTTTGTACTTCACCCCAAAAATAGAAGGATTGAGAGCCACTGAGGAACTTCTGTAAGAGGGATCAAAATAGCCGTAGAGATTAGTAGCAAGATGAAAACCACTTCTGTTTTCACATTTTTTCCTCTTCCACCATCAGCTGATGAATATAAAGTCTTAGTAGCCAAAGTGGCATGATAGAATTGTGATATCGCCCTTACATCATCAATCAATTCATAATCACAATTCAAGTTTATTGGTTGGGGTTTTTTTTCCCGGAAAGAAGAATTAGGATTTAGCTTTGCTAGCAAGAAACTATCAGAATTCTCACTGTACACTTACTCCTTCTGAGTTGCGACGGCGTTGAATTCTAATGCAAAAAGCTTAATCAAAATACATAAAGCAATGTGAGATTTACTCCTTCCGAGTTGCAAGGGTGTTGAATTCTAACGCTTAATCAAAATACATAAAGCAATGTGAGAGACTAAGGGACAGTAAGCAAAATCTCCAGTGAGTAATCTACCTCCAGCAACCAACACTTATATTCCTTTCTGTTTCTAAGTACGAGAAGATCCAAGAACTCACGGGGATGTCTGGGGCTGCTGTTCCTGCTCCGGACTACCTCTTTGAGATTGTGTACTCTGATCAAATGAATACCAAGTTTGCTGAGACCAAGGGAGAGCGGGACCTCATCTATGCCTTCCACGGGAGCCGCCTGGAGAACTTCCATTCCATACTGCACAACGGCCTGCACTGCCATTTGAACAGGGTGAGGCTCCTGGTGTTGGCATCATCTTCTGATGGTCATTTGCAGCTAGTGACACTTTTTAAAAATAGGCTCAAATTCCTTTAGGGGGTATGAAATGTGCTGACGATCTTATACTGCTGTTTTCACTTCAGTGTAAGGCCTTTGTGGATGGTTTCGTTGCATTTTCTAGGCAGCCCGAGGGTAAAAACTGGAAGCAGCACAAAACCCTTTTCTCCAGTGAGACAAATTACAGCTACCCTTTGCTTCTTTGTAAGGAATTGTAATTCCTCTGAAAATACTGGCCTGTCTGACAGCCTGCAGCTGTAAAGTGCCAGTGCACAGAGAAGGAGGATAGTGACCCGGGCAACTTAGAGATTGTCTCTTAAACTTGTGGCCAGGCATAAAAATCAACTAAATTTTAGGTACTACTTGCAAATGGAGCCTTCTTTGAATGGCCTGGCAAAGGGAGACATCCTGTAGGCTTTGCATCTCTTCCAATTTCAGCGGAAAGGCAGTTGGGAGTCAGGGCTTTTTGTGTTTTTGTGAAGCAGCTTTGACACAACAGCTGCTTAACCTTCCAGTCAGCCTGGACCATGTTTTTCTCCCATGCTCTTTGTGAGTAATGGCTTACCAGGTAGAGTGGACTTAGTGGATTAATAGTTTTAGGAGGGTGGCAAATCCTCTGATTCAAGGTTATTAAAACAGTTATATTTGAAAGGAATTTGCAATTGAAAAGTGCTTCCCTCTTTTCTAGTGAGGCATGGATTTAAATGCGAGTAAAGCCTTGTCTTGTTTGTGGAGGTTGGATTATTTTTTTTGAATGATGGCAGTCTCAATAAATCAGTGAAATGCCTCTAATAGCAGCGCAGTCATGTTGATATAAAATACTTAGGCTGGCAAACTAAACCCAAATCCGGGAAAGCATGAATCTGTCCACACCAGGGGCTGTGCCAAGCAGCTAATTTCAGGGATGGGAGGGGGCAGCTGCCCCACCCCAAGGAAGTTGTGCCAGCAGGAAAACAGTGCATGGACCAGGCCCAGCACAGGTCAGAAAAGCCTTTTTTTTTTTTTTCAAGTTACCTTCAGAAACAGAACTGCCAGTCTGAAAGTAAAGTACACTTGTATGTTGTTTATAGTTTGCTCTAGAGGATTTTAGGATGTATTTCTGCTCCGTTTCAGACGTCTCTGTTTGGCGAAGGTACCTACCTTACCAGTGACCTGAGCCTGGCTCTCCTTTACAGCCCTCATAGTCTTGGCTGGCAGCGAAGTGCCCTGGGCTCTATCCTTAGCTGTGTGGCCGTTTGTGAGATCATTGATCACCCAGATGTAAAGTGTCAGGTGAAAAAGAAAGGTGAGTCCATTGCAACAACAACTCTGTGTAGTTCATCTCTTAGAATTTCTCATATTATCATAGAATCGTAGAATGGTTTGGATTAAAAGAGAACTTAAAGATCATCTAGTTCCAACCCCCTGCCCTGGGCAGGGACACCTCCCACCAGACCAGGTTGCTCAAAGCCCCATCCAACCTGGCCTTGAACCCCTCCAGGGATGGGGCAGCCACAGCTTCTATAGGCAACCTGGGCCAGGCTCTCACCACCCTCACAGTAATAGATTTCTTCCTAATATCTAATTTAAATCTCCTCTCTCCAGTTTAAAACCATTACCCCTCATCCTATCACTCCAGTCCCTGAAAAACAGTTCCTCCCCATCTTTCCTGTAGCCCCCTTTAGGTGTTGGAAGCCTTCTCTTTGTGCAGAAGTGCTGTTGTGTAAACGGTGCAACGTATGGAGTCAGGACACCCTTCAGCAGAAACTGCTGACTCCTTTTCCAATTGACTCCTCAACAAATATGCAACAGCCTCGTTGCCTGTGAAGCTCTTCTTAAAATAGTAGATTTAAGGGGTAGAAAATATTTTGGTGGCATGATTTGGTTTTCCTTGTTTAAGTAGTATGATAAAATCATGTTCCATGTCTGATCATTTCACCTGTGATGGATGAACAGAAGCATCACAAATGTATCAATAATGAGCTTTACTGGATGTCTAGGAAGCCTCTGCTCAGATTGTCCTCTGAGTGCTTCCTGCTTGTGGGGCTCAGTCAGTCCTTGTTGTTTTTATTTCCCTGTGAATATTAGCAGCTCCTCAAGCACCGTGTGGGAGACCTGCCCCCTTGTGACCCTGGGCTGGGCCATAATGCCATCCATACCATGGATGACTAGGAGTGGTATAGCCTCAAGCAAACTTTTTGGTCTATTCTTGGATGCTAAGAGATTCGGGGGAATTCCAAGTCTAGGTCTTTGGTTATCTCCTTCCCACTGTGGTGGGTGCATTTGTGTGCGGGTTGTTTGTTTGCTTTTTCACAGTCACTTGAAGTTGTGCATCTTTTTCTGCTTTTCTGTTCCCCCAAAGACCCCTTCTGTTCTCTTCCCATTCAGATTCAGAAGAAATAGACAGAAAAAGAGCAAGAGTGAAAAACAGCGAAGGGGGTGACGTACCACAGAAATACTTCGTTGTCACAAACAATCAGCTTTTACGAGTTAAATACTTGCTAGTATATTCACAGAAACAGCATAGGAGGTAAGAGTTCAGCTGTCTGGAGTGATGAGCACACTATAACCACCAGATAACACACATCTCATTTTTGAAAAATAAGACAAAACAAGCAAGATGTGCTGCACTCTGCAGGTTTAGCCTGTTTTCCTGTGGAAACAAAGCTTACACCACCACGTTGCCTCTGTCTCACTCTTTGATGCTCCCAGCCTCAGCTGCATTTGCTTTTTCACAAGACCTGTAAGCACTTAGAATCTTTGAGAGCTCTAATAATCTGTTTGTGGCAGGAAACAAGGAGCGAAATTCTGATGAGTGCAGCTCTTAAAAGCAGGATGGTTTTAACTCTGCCCTTATCTATCCTAAGTGGCAGCATTTACCCAGCTCATCATCTTGTGGGTACAGACCAGACAGTTACTGCTTCACACCATGGAGAAAGGAGTGAGCATGGGGAGAAAGGACAGGATTGTGCAGAAGATTTAGGGAGAAGGGATGGGGAATCAGGCCTTGTCAGTTACAGGGATCGCGAAACAACTTTCTGATCACATCGCATCAGCTTAACCAGTTAAAAATAACAAAACCTAAGATACTCTTTGCCAACGTATTCCTGCACCTCTGGGAGAATTCATGCCTTTTTCTCTTTTTCAGGCCTTCCAGGCAATCTTCCTGGTTTTACACGCACCGTTTTGCCCTAATGATGCTGCTGTACCTACTGCTGCTAATCCTGATAGGGGCCAGCAAATCGCCAACCGTCGTCTACTACTGGCACAGAATGTTTGACTCGAGGAGATGAATCACCCGAGATGATAAACTTAATTTCACCACGTGCCTTAATAATAGCCATTCTGCGATGCACTGTGTCCCTTCCAGAGCTCTGGAAGTAAAGGTGCCTGGAGCTTTCCAGTTCTGCCTCCACTATATAATCCCTGCGGCATCTTTCCATTTATTCTTATTTCTGTGCTCCTGTGATTCATGAGGAGCTGAAAAGGATCACAATGGTGCAGCTTGAGCATGAATCAATTGTTAAGGGTCCACGGGAAAAAGTTATTTAAAAGTTAGTGAAAACGAAGTGGGAAAACACTGACGTGTAACTGTTTTCTGTCAAACCGAGGTGGTGATATTTGCACAAGTTGGGAAGGAGGGGTTTTCTGTACGTCAGGCAAAGGAACCTGTAGGGAATCTGACCAATTTGTTTTCAGAAACTGAATGTAGTCAATGTTTAGCATGTATCAGTGCAGATGGGATCACTTCTAAAACTAACTTTGGCCAGGAATTTTTATATTTGAGCATAATGATTGTAAGAGAACAACAAGAAATAAAACAATAGCCAAAATGGAAGACATTAAATGGTTTCTAGTATGTTCCCCCCGACCTCCTCCAAAACATCTGCAAGGCTTTTGTTCTCAGCCACGAGCATCAATACTGAATAAGGATTATTCCTATCAAACTCCCTTCCACTTGCATTTTTTGCACTAAAAGGAGAGAGGGTGAAGGGTTCCACTTACGCTGCCACCGGACAGGATTTTGGGGGTTGGGGCTGCCTGGGGTTGGGGATCTGGTTCGACATTTTAGCTTGTATTGAGTTGTTTTCAGCCTCCCTCCCTTAATGAACAAATAGACTAATGAGCAGTAATGCACCACCGTTTTCCTGAAACACTGGTTTGAAATGGAGTAAAACCGCAGCCGAACGGGTAGGGTTGTGTTTTATGTCTGTGAATATTTGTAGCACAGTTAATTTCATACAGATGTCACTGTGGCCTCCACGTGACAACTTGTGCTCAGTACTGTATATTTGTAAAATAGACCGTCCACATTGAGTTCTCACAAAGAATTGAGTTTTCTGTGGTCAGAATTACGGCAGTTATAAGCCGTTACAAGCACCCATATAAGCACCCTCTGCAAAGTGCTTTGGCTTTAATGCCAGGGCATAAAACCTCTCTATCTGTCATATTCAGCTTTTCTAATCTTGAAAAAGGGCATTTTGGGGGGTTTGGTTGAAAACA